GAGCTCAGCCTGGGAAGCGGGGGAGCCCCACGGTAACACCAGCGCCGCGGCTGCCGCGTGACGCTCGGGGTCGGAGGCAGATTGTCTCCAGCCCGAAAATTGTCGGGCTCTGCTCCGGCTCGTGTTTCTTGGCAGCCAGCGCGGCAGTTTCTTGGAAGCGCAGCGTGCCTCTGCTTTTTCCATGCTGGGTTGGTGGGCAGGGGCTGCAGGATCCTGCCTTCCATCCCCCAGCTCGGCACGGCTCCAAGGGATGCCGGCGCGGAGTGCTGGGGAGGCGGGATCCAGCCTCTTTCCCTCTGGAGATGCCGATCCCGTGCGCTGGAACAGCCATGGGAAGCGGGAGCTGCACGGAGCAGTTTTCCACGCTGCTGCCATCCCCTGTGCTTTTTGGGGCTTTTGAGGTGCCTTCGTGCCACTGGACTGGGGACAACCAACCCAGGGAAGCAGCCTGGGAAATGAGGGAAACTGAGGCACGGGATGGGCAGCGGGAGGGAGGGGTGTGACCCCCCCCAAATTCATTCACGGCTGACTTGAGGGTTCTGGAAGCTGCTGGTCGTGTAAGGGGTCTGGCTGGAGAAAAAGGGACAAGGCTGCCTTCCATCCTTGCTCTGCTGTGGGGCGAGATGTGGCTTTGGGGTGGGCTGGGGGGCCAGTTTTGGGGCCATACCCCCCACCCACAAGACACACAAACCCCACCAGTGCTCCTGCACCGGGTTCGTTGCTGCTGGGTGGCCCCAAACAAGGAACAGCTCGAGGTGAATAATCATCCAAAAAACAGGAATTATAAAAGTTTCGTTGTATTTTGTTCCCACTTGCTTTAATTACCCTTAATTACCTCAGTAGGCATCTCGGAGGAGCGTCGAGTGCTCTGTCACCACGTCTGGGGCTGGCGGGTGAGTGACTGGCGGAGTGGAGCTGCTGGGTTTGCCCACGACAGCTTATTTACTGTCTCTGACTAAACAGCAGTTGTTAATTAGCTCCTTTATGGAGATACATGCGTCCCTCACGCGTTTGTAAAGCTGCAGCCTAAATAGATTCATCACAATTTGGGAGGAAAGCAGCTGAGCCAGGGCCCGGTGCCATGCTGGGCATCACTGGGAGCAGGGATGCAGGGATAGGGGTGCCAGTGGATGTTTGGAGTCCCCCAGACCCAAACTTTACATGAGGTGGGCTTGTTCCCTGCCTCCTCCCTGCCTGTGGGGGATCGGGGTGCCCTGGCACGTGTGAGCAGGGGGTGATGGAGCAGAGATGGGCAGCCAGGCCCTGGGGCAGCGTTCCAGGCTGGCACGTCCCAGCGGCGCAGAGCTGGGAGCTGGGATGGGTGCCGAATCCCTGCAGGGCTTGGCGAGGCTCTGGGAAGTCAGCAGCTCTGCCGCTGGGGACTTGGGAGCAGCACAGTGCCAGCGGGAGGGATGGTGGCAGGGATCCCGTCTGGGGGCTCTGACCCCAGGCGCCCTGTTCTGAGCCAGGCTGTCCCCAGGCCACCCCAGGGCACAGGGGATGGGACAGCAGCTCCATGTCACAGCCGGGTCTGGCTGCCGCGATGCCTCGGGGTCTGCCCGGAGCTGCTCCACCCGGAGCCTGTGGAGGAGCATCCCTGAGAACCATCCTCCGAGGGACACCCTCCTCCCGCAGGGACAGGCGTTCTGGCCAGCGGTGCCACCCCCGGTCCCCGTGGGGAGGAAGAGCTGCTCCACAGGGATGACAGCCAAGGAACGGGCTTCACTCC